TTTGGGAAGGGGCTTTCGAGGCCAAAAACCCATTCCCAAAGCTGAACCAAACGGGGCCAGTGTCCAATGGCGAGTACAAAAGCATGCAGCGTCACGTGGTGGCCAACTCGCAGAAGGAACCCAGAATCTCCATAGTCATGTTCTTCAAGCTGAGCAAGTGGAAAGGGTCCGGCCACTCCGGGCCTTTGCCCGAGCTGTTGTCGCCGGAGAGGCCGGCCATTTACCGGGACTTCACCACTCAAGAGTTCTTTGACAACTTTTACGGCAAGGGATTCGATAGCAAGTCCTTGATTGAGAAGATTAAGATTCAAGATTGAGTTGGATTTAGACCGACTATCATCATGGGTCTTCACTAGTTCTATACGGGTGCATCGTATCAATTGCATGAGTTCTTTTCGGTATTTATCACGTATGTGTTTCGCTGATGATTTGAAATGTCTCTTTTTTCTATTTGAATAAACCAACAAGCGACTATATGTATGATGTGAAGAGTCGCCATTAAATCTTCCCTATTATTTAGAGCCTTTCTATCGTACGGTGATCGCATGGCAAATTTGTCCTGCACGATTCGACTTTCAAAAATATTGATCCGATTATGGGGATTGCTATGCATCCAACGGTTGACATTAAGTTGCTTAAATCCAACGGCTGAGATGTTGCAAAACAAATTTGTCGGACGAATGGCACTCGCAACCCTTGAAAAAGACCACTTTGAAAATGACTTCCATAATGGTTATGCACAATTGTACACGGATAACTTACATTTTTTTCCTTTTGCTTGATTTAAGTCTCGTAACTCATGTACTTTGATTTTTCAAATCTAAAATTTCTTAAACTTTCGAGGGCCTCGTTTATCGACACGTAATTTGACATATGATTTTTCTCATAATCTTCAAAGATTTGCATAATAATTTATAGCGAAAATTCCAAAGAAAGACATGAATTGTCCTCATTTTCTCAAATAAAGACTTGAAGTGGCCATGGCAATTCTAAATAAGGGCTTGACCTTGTTGGCCGACTAAATATTCCGATCAATAATTTTATCCTAAAATATAGGGGAAGGGCCAGCCCCAGCCCTCCCCGCCCGGTGACCTCATTGGCCATGGCCGACACCCCACCGACGTTGGGGTGGCGGCCACAAGCAAAGGCCTTGGGTTTTTTTTTGTGTTTTTTTTTAAGTTTTAGCCTTTTTTTTTCTTTTTTGAGTTTGTCTTTTTTTGGAAAGAAAAAAACAAAAAAAGGAAAAAAAGGAAAGAAAAAAAAAAAGAGTAAAGGTCGAAAATACCCTAGACCAATTGGTGAGGTCAGGCTCTTCTTTGAGACTGACATGGCCGCCCTTATTTGAAACAAAGTTGACTTCAAGCTCTTATTTAAAATAGAGTCCACTTAAGACTATTATTTAAAAAAATGATAGCACTTCAAGCTCTTGTTTAGAATTTTTCCTAATTTATGTTTCGACAGGGTATTTTGGTTTCATTAAATCCCATGCCCCCAATGATTGAGATATATGATGCACATTGGATGAGGCGTCTTTGACACACACGTATCTAATTAATTCCCCGGTTGATATTTCTAAATTTGAGAAGTTACATATGAAGCCTGAAGTGCTTTGGGCTATGTAATCCTATCGTTGGAAGGTTTGATGGTACCATTAATCATGTTAACCTATTCAATCAAAAAGGATTACTTCTCAAAGCATCAACTAATATATGACAGGAAAAATTTTAAATTACAATAGTTTTCTTATTTTAGTAGTTAATATGTACTATGAGACACTCTTTAATAAAATCTTCAGCGATAAATTATCTAATTTTAGTGAAATAACTACCATATTAAGCATAAGAATTGGCCACCGTACAATAAGTTTATGACTTTTTGAATAATTTTCGCCTAACAAAAGGATTAAATTGTAAGAGCAAGTGAACTTTAAGTTCTCTCCTGTAATAATTTTCAATTTATGGGCCGCTTAAATTGAAACCCCCTTCAAAATGTAGAGTTTTTTTTTTCTTGTTTTCTAGTATTTTCTTCTAAAAATTCCAAAATTGATGTTCGCTTCTCTTTTTCCCCTTCTTCATCTTTATTATTAGTCTAGCTTGACATTATCCTAAAAAAATATTTTAGTATGACTTCCAAGTTGCATTTTTCGATTTCTATAGCTAAAAAAAGAATGATACAGCCTTACCAAAAAAAAAAAGAATGATACAAGATTCTTATCCATGCAAAGCCAAATTGTTATAATTGACTATCATTAAATCAGAATTACACATAATAAACATTCGCAATTATAAATCTCAAAATAAAATTTAGAGTTGCAACCCAAGAGCTGAGATTGCATAGTTGTGAGATAGCACCGTTAAAGCCCCAACTTTGGTCGTTTTATGAATATCATCCCCAACTAGGCAAATAGTTATGACTATTATTCGAAAAATGTCCAAATTAGTGATTTCCTTTTGTTATCAATTTATGCTACATTATTATTTTTTGTTTTTCTTTCTTTTTACGCTCAACCGTAATAAGTTAGCTTATGTGGGAATTAGCACAGTTAAGCATTGAAAATTACAACAACTAATTCAAAGAATCTCGAAAGAAGTAGGTGTAAATTGTTTTAAGAGTTAAAACAAGAAATTCAAACATTTTATAATAAAACTATTTAACGTATAAAATTCTATAGAAATATGGAAAAATTGTCCAAAAAGTCTTAAACTTATTGCACTTTTACCAAGTCAGTTCTAAACCTTTCAATTTTGCTAATTAAGTCATAAACCTTTTGACAATTTACCAATTAAGTCTATCCGGCCAATTTTGGCCAAAAATCGCTGACGTGGACGCCGGCGATCCTACGTGGCACGGCTCGTGCGCCCTCGCTTTGGTCGGCAAGGGCGTCGCGGCCCTCGCCTCGAGCCAACGAAGGTTGGCCGGCGACCCTCGTCGGGCCTAACTCCAAAACCAAAAAAAAATAGAGAAAAGTTAAAAAAAAAGAAGAAAAAAAACTATTAAAAATTTTAGAAAATTATTAAAATATTATTTAAAAATGTCCAGGTCAGCGCCACGTGGCCAGCTAGTGTTCACGTCGGCGGTTTCCAATCAAAATTAGCTGAATGGATTCAATTGACAAGAAGTAAAAAGCTTTAGGACTCAATTGGCAAAGTCGAAAAGTTTATGACTAAATTGGCAAAATGCGATAATTTAGGGCTTTTTGGACAATTTTCCCCTCACTCTCTTACATTCTTCATCAGTACAACAGTGACCTACGCACACAAAACGGGTAAAGGCATTCAGATTTGAGGTCTAAACAGACCCTTGAATGCTTAAGTTAGTACGTTTGAAAAAATGGCAATGTTTTTTTTTTGGTCTGAAAAAAATGTGGCAATGTTTGACCAAAGTGTTAATATCATAAAAAAACCCCAAATTGGTATATCCGTGATAAATTTACCCAAGACTAATTTTTTGATCATAAAAAATCCCAAACTGGTATACCTATAACAAATTTACCCTCCATTAATTTTCGTTAAATTTTACCATCAAAGTGTTGAGTTGGTTGACACATAGCAATTGATGGGTATACCAGTTTGGGATTTTATTATTTGCTTGTCATAGCTGTACTGGTTTATGATTTTTCGTGGTATTAATCTAATTTAACGAAAACTAATGGAGGGTAAATTTATCACAAATGTACTGATTTGAGGTTTTTGGTGGTTAAAAAATTAGTTTTTGATAAATTTATCACGGGTGTACTAGTTTGGGGTTTTTCGTGGTATTAACCATTGACCAAAAACAAAATGGCAATGTATTAAGCTTAAGAGAGAGAATGATTTTTTGGTTTTGTTTTTCCAGCTTTCAAGGGCGCGCATAATAACCATTCTATTTCTAGCTAGATCTATTTTTCTGTTCCCGTGAACAGATTTGAAAGAAAAATCCGTTTGGTAACGCAATTTTATTTTTCAATTTTCTGAATAAAATTTTAGTCCAAAAATAGGCTTGGAATAGAAATGAGAAGTAAAAATTTTCTACTTTTATGTTTCTAGGACAAAAAAGATTAATAAAAACTCTTCTCATCGTTCGCCCTCGCCTCCCGCCGCACGCGGCCGCCGCCCCCCCACCGGTCGCCGCCAACCGAAAAAGAGCTTGAGAGGGAGATATTTAAGAAAGCCTATTAAACGAATTTCTATTCTGGAAAGAGAAATTTTATATTGTTATCAAACCCGTATATTTGTTCAAGAACTCGTCCGGGGAATAAAAATAGAAAAATATATTTCTGATAAGAAATATATTCCAATAACATAATTGTTATCATTCGCACTCAAGTGACTATTTATAGGTTATTTTACTCGTTCCGTCAAGTTAGGGCCAACAGGTGGTGACCAAATTGTGACAGATATCAGTTGATAGATAGCAATATGTCACAACAAGCGCGATATGCGTCTTGGGAAGCGGCAGCTATACCCTCTACAGAGCCAAATGGCGTCTAATCCTTTATATAGTGATAACATCGATCATTTTTTCTTCTAGTGTAACATCAAACAGACCGATTTACTTTGTTGTCCAAGAGCCATTAAAGGCGCGAATGATAACCATTATATTTTCCTGTTTTTCTATTTTTTTTGTTCTCGGGAATAGGTTTGGAACAGAATTTCGTTTGATAATATAATTTTATTTTTCTATTTTCGAGATAAATTTTTAGCTAAGAAATAGATTTGGAACAAAAATGATCACTCAATCAACTCGTTGGGGGAGCCGAGGACACGTAGCTTGCACCTTGTGGCTTAGTCGAACCCATATTATCAACTCCTTTTTGATACTTGAAGAGTAATTATATAATTAAATTCAGTAAAAATTATATTGGGATCCGGTAGATCCATACGAGGTTGAAGATAGATTATGGGGGTTTTACTGTCTGAGTTACCACATCGGAAGTCTTCGTCATATGGTGGCGGGGCCTCACTCATATATTTATTAACGTAACGCCTTAACAGTAACAAGACCTCACCTGCGAATCTCCGATTACAATTCATACTTCGTGTCTCCACCTCACAACAGAAGATTGAATATGGCCACAGCAGCCGACGCAACTCCGCCGAGCTACGACCGCATGAAGGCGGTGAAGGAGTTCGACGAGTCGAAAATGGGCGTGAAAGGCCTCTCGGACTCCGGCATCACCTCCATACCCGAATTCTTCATCCACCCTCCCCACACTCTCTCCGACCTCAAACTCACCTCCAAGACCGCCAGGTCGCTACCTGTCATCGACCTCGCCGACCTGGAATCCGCCGACCGCCGCCGCACGATCGTCGACCAAGTCAAAGAAGCCGCCAAAACTTGGGGCTTCTTTCAAGTGGTCAACCACGGCGTGCCGGTCTCCGTCCTCGACGAAACGATCCGTGCCGTGAGGGCCTTCCATGACCAGCCGCGCGACGTCAAGGCCAAGTACTACAAGCGTGAGGAAGGGCGGGGCGTGATGTACGCGAGCAACAACGACCTGTACCGGGCGGAGGCGGCTAGCTGGCACGACTCGCTGCAAGCGTGGATGGGGCCGGAGCCGCTGCCGCCAGAGGAGCTTCCAGAGGCGTGCCGCTGGGAGGTGGCGGCGTGGGACGGCCACGCGAGGGGGGTGGCGGAGAAGGTGATGGAGTTGCTGAGCGAAGGGCTGGGGCTGGAGAGAGGGAGGTTCAAGGAGCTGACCTTTTCGGAGTCTAGGGCTTTCGTGGGGCACTGTTATCCGTACTGCCCCGAGCCGGACCGGACGGTCGGGATCACGGCGCACACCGATCCCGGGATCGTGACGGTGCTGCTGCAGAACGGGATCAAGGGATTGCAGGTGAAGCACGACGGCGAGTGGGTGGAGGTGAGCCCCGTGCATGGAGGGTTGATCATCAACGTCGGTGATTTTCTCCAGGTGAGAGGATCTGCCTTCAAACGTTTCTCTATGCCTGTTCTTGATTAATTTCTTCGAAGAAAAGCAAATCTTTCCAAAGTTTTCACAGGTAGCATATCCAAAAAAAAAAATTCCAGGTATTCTCAAAGTAACTTTTTCGATACACGAGCCGTGATCTGAAGAATTCGCTTTTCAATGTTGAGTCTCAGAGTATTTCCATCTTCCTATGCTTCTAATAACATGTATCCCTAATAGAAATGATGGATCTGAATATCGTATATTGGAGTTTTTCCTTCACGGTTGCAAGCTTTAGATCGTGACTAGTATGTACGTAGACAGATCTGAATATCATATAGTATTCGTTTTTTTGACTTTTGGGGTTGCCAATTGGGACTTTGGTGACAATGGCTGGCAGATAGTGTCGAACGGCGACTACAAAAGCGTGCAGCATCGCGTGGTGGCCAACTCGGAGAAGGAACCCAGGATCTCCATAGTCATGTTCTTCAACCTTAGCAAGTGGAAAGGTTCCGGCCACTACGGCCCTTTGCCCGAGCTGCTGTCGCCGGAGAGGCCAGCCATTTACCGCGACTTCACCGCGCAAGAGTTCTTCGACAACTTCTACAGCAAGGGATTGGATAGCAAGTCCTTTATTGAGAAGATTGAGATTCAAAATTGAGTCGGATTTCAGCACGACCGACATCATGGATTTTCACCATTTTCATTTTTTATGTACGGGTGCGTCATATTGACAACTGCGGGAGTTTTTTTAATGGTATCTTATCTAGAATATCGCATTTTCCTATTTGAATAAGCCAACAAGCAACCATATATACATTATATTTATCAATTTTGGGCAATAAATTTGTCGTATATATGGCACTGTGGGTGATTTTGCAAATCTTGAAAAATAGTGCTTTTGAAAATGACTTGGGCAATGGACATGTTCAAATGGTGCACGGCTGCAGTTACGTACTTTCCGTCAATGAAACCTTTTGAAGTGGGTGAAAGCGAATTCTAGATGGTCTATCTATTCTCCCATCTCTTATTGGACAGAGTTACCTCTGATTGGTAGTTTATTATAGATATCGCTCCCATAAAACTAAAATAAACTTAAGCTCCGTCTATTTCACGGAAATTAACCTTCAAAAAGACGTTTTTCGAATTTTTTAGCTTTAGGTTCGTGAAAAATAAACTAATCAAGAAAAATATTTTCCGCCAATAAAAAAAACACCATAAAAAATTCGGAAAATATTTTCCGAATTTCAGAAAGCGGAAAACATTTTCCATCCTCCTTCTTTCATCTCTAGACCAAGTACCTACTTTCACCAAACACGTTTTCCTTTTTATATATTTTTATTTTTTAAATTCGAGTTTTTAATTAATTATTTTCTTTTCTTTTCTTTCTTTTTCTTTTTCTTCTTCCTCAGACCGGCCACGGGCAAGCTCGAGTCTCGCCTGATCCAACAAGCTAGGCGAGGCTTGAGCCTCGCTCGAGGTCGCCAAGGCCTCGCCGACCTCGGGTGAGCTCAAGCTCGCCTGTGGCCGACAATCTACCAAAGAAGAAAGAAAAGAAAAAGAAAAAAATAAAAATAAAATATCATTAAAAGGAGTGTACGGAAGAAAATTAAATCAGATTTTTCATACCAAATGGCGAAGAATATTTTGTAATTCATTTTTAGAGTTCAATCAAATACCGAAAAATATTATCATTTTTCTGAAAAAGGACTTTTTAAAACGCCATGTTTTTCGCGAGATGAAAAGAGCCATGATAATGGACAATGGCCAAATTACAAAGTCGTCGGTCAGAGACGCCACTGAAGGAAATTTGTTCCATGGGAAAGGTGGCCATGAGACCAGAGTTAGACGAGGATAGATTCACTTTCTGAAAAGACGATGTTCCGCCCTTGTCCTTTATTCCTTCAATAATTGAAGTTCCAAATATCTTTCCTTCTATTTCCTTAACGACGTGACGATAATAACCTTGACCGCGCTTCGCACAAATTGGATCTTTGAGATTTTCATTAGTAGAGCTATGGGGCATTATATCAAACATCGATATATCGATGAGCTGGATATCGCTTTTTTGCGTGGGATGGATCTTGAGATTTTCAGTTGTTACGACTGAACCGAAAGTATAGTGTGTAATCGATGGCCTGTGAAACGATGTGACTTTATATTTGGTAAACCCATGTATTTATAATTGCAACACCTTAAAACTAGATTAGACAACTCTTACCTAAAGCTGCCATAAGCTGCTGTGACTAGACACCTAATAGAACCTACAGTATCTATTTTCGCAGCCGAGATTACCGTACGAAAGCTCTACCCGGACACCACCTTGAAAGATGCGAAACGAGAGGGCGGCCAACTGCATTATTTTGCCAGCATCTCTCACGTGGGTCACCTCGCCTCACCTGCTAAATTTGTCGCCACCCAAATCTCTCTCTCTCGATACAAACCACCACTCTCTTTTGGCACAGCCGCTCATTGTCACCACCCACTCTCTCTCTCTCTCTCTCTCTCTCTCGATACAAACCACCACTGTCTTTTGGCACAGCCGCTCATTGTCGGTTGTGTATCGATCCGTGGCCAATTAGGTAGCGAATGATAACCATTCTGTTCCGAAATGAGTTCCTGAACCAGAAATAGATTTTTCTATTTCTGGTTCTTAGATGAGTTTCTGAGAAAAAAAACCCGTTTGATAATGACAAAAAATTTCTATTTCTAGAACAGAAACCCGTTTGATAACAGCACAAAATTTCTATTTCCTGAAATAAAAACCCGTTTGATAAACAACAGAAAATTCTATTTCCAGGAACAAAAATCCATTTTTTTAGAAATGGAATAAAAATAATAAAAAATCCGAAAAATTCATAAAAATCTTTAAAAAAATTCAGAAAATCCCAAAAAATTGAAAAATTCCAGAAAAAATCATCAAAATGTCGAGAAAATAAAAAAAATTTAGATTTCGGGAAAATAGGAAATTTGTTGAATTTTTTCAAAAAAATCAAGAAATCAAAAATTTCAAAACTTCACAGAATTCTTAGAATACCTGTGGCCACCCACTTTTAGTGAAATTTAAATTTTTTTAGATGCCCAAAAAAAAATCAAAAAATCAAAAATTTCAAAACTTCACAGAATAGTTTAGAATACATGTGGCCACCCACTTTGAGTGAAATTTAAATTTTTTTAGGTGCAAAAAAACATAAAAAATCAAAAATTTCAAAACTTCACAGAATGACTTACAATACCTCTAGCCACCCACTTTGAGTAAAATTTAATTTTTTTTAGATGCCCAAATGGTATTTTTTATTTTTTTTATTTTTTTGGTTCCTAAAGAAAATTAAATTTCACTCAAAGTGGACGGCCACATGTATTCTAAGCCACTCTGTGAAGATTTGAAAATTTTTCTTTTTTGCATATTTTTATTTTTTTTTCGACACCTAAAAAAAATTAAATTTCACTCAAAGTGGGTGGCCACAGGTATTCTAAGCAATTATGTAAAGTTTTTTATTTTTTATTTTTTTCGGCACCTAAAAAGATTTAAATTTCGCTTAAAGTGGATGGCCACAGGTATTCTAAGCCATTTTGTGAAGTTTTTTATTTTTTATTTTTTATTTTTTTCGGCACCTAAAAAAATAAAATTTCGCTCAAAGTGAGTGGCCACAGGTATTTTAAGCCATTATGTAAAGTTTTGAAATTTTTACTTTTTTGTTTATTTTTATTTTTTTTTGGCATATAAAAAAATTTAGGGATAAGTGCACTACAAGTCCTAAAACTTGTCGCAAAAGTGCGTTTGAGTCCTAAAACTTGCAAAAAGTTCATTTGAGTCCTAAAACTTGTCAAAATGGTTCATTTGAGTCCTAAAGTTAACACCGTTAGATTTACTAACGGAAAATGCTGACGTGGCGCTGACGTGTCATTTTTAATTATTTTTCTTGAGACACGTGGCGCCACGTCAGCAAAAATAAAAATAAAATTGAAAAAACTGAAAAAAAAAAAAAAAAAAAAAAACCAAAAAAAGGAAAAAAAAAAAAAGAACCGGCGATGGCCAAGCCCAGCGGCCACCGCCGATGGCCGAAGCCCGGCGGCCGGGAAGGACCGGCGAGGGTCGCCTGGGTCTTCCCGAAGCCCGGCGACCCTCGCCGGCGCCGGGCGAAGGCCGACGAGGGTCGCGCCCTCCCCCAGATCGAGGGTCACCGGCCCTCGCCGGGGACTCGCCCGGGGCCGGCGAGGGTCGCCTGGGCCTTCCCGACGCCCGGCGACCGCTACCGGCCCCGAGCGAGTCCCCGGCGAGGGCCGGCGACCCTCGATCTGGGGGAGGGCGCGACCCTCGCCCCAGATCTGAGCGAGGGTCGCCGGCCCTCGCCGGGGACTCGCCCGGGGCCGGCGGAGGTCGCCGGGCTTCGGGAAGGCCCAGGCGACCCTCGCCGGCCCCGGGCGAGTCCCCGGCGAGGGCCGGCGACCCTCGATCTGGGGGAGGGCGCGACCCTCGCCCCAGATCTGAGCGAGGGTCGCCGGCCCTCGCCCGGGGCCGGCGAGGGTCGCCGGGCTTCGGGAAGGCCCAGGCGACCCTCGCCGGTCCTTCCCGGTGGCTGTGGCGGTGGCCACCGGCGGTGACCGCCGGGCTTGGCCACTGCCGGTCCTTTTTTTTTTTTTTTTCAATTTTTATTTTTATTTTTGCTGATGTGGCGCCACGTGTCTCAAGAAAAATAATTAAAAATAACACGTCAGCGCCACGTCAGCATTTTCCGTTAGTAAATCTAACGGTGTTAACTTTAGGACTCAAATGAACCATTTTGACAAGTTTTAGGACTCAAATGAACTTTTTGCAAGTTTTAGGACTCAAACGCACTTTTATGACAGGTTTTAGGACTTGTAGTGCACTTATCCCAAAAATTTAAATTTCACTCAAAGTGGGTGGCCACAAGTATTTTAAGCTATTCTGTGAAGTTTTGAAATTTTTTATTTTTTTTATTTTTTTCGGCACCTAAAAAAATTTAAATTTCACTCAAAGTGGATGGCCACAAGTATTCTAAGCCATTCTGTGAAGTTTTGAAATATTTGATTTTTTGCTTTTTTTTATTTTTTTCGGCACCTAAAAAAATAAAATTTCGCTCAAATTGGGTGGCCACAGATATTCTAAGATATTTTGTAAAGTTTTTAAATTTTAGAATTTTTTATTTTTTTTTGGCAACTAAAAAAATTAAATTTTGCTCAAAGTGGGTGGCCATAGGTTTTCTAAGCCATTTTGTGAAATTTTGAAATTTTTTATTTTTTTTTATTTTTTTCGGTACCTAAAAAAATTAAAATTTCACTGAAAGTGGGTAGCCACAGATTCTAAACCATTCTGTTAAATTTTAAAATTTTTGATTTTTTGCTTTTTTTTCTCATCTCAAAGATCGTGACTTCCATATGAATATATGTGTTGAAGAAAATGAATTCCTCAAAAATGGTTCTCACTTTTGTTCTAAAAATGAAAAATCAACTTTTTTTTGGTTCTCATTTCTGGTTTGAGAATCAGTTTTGGAAGCAAACTTGTCCCGGAAATAGAAAAATGAAATTGCGTTACCAAACGGGTTTCTGGTCCAAAACTGATTCTGAGAACAAAAAACCAGTTTTGGACAGAACCAGAATGATTTTCATGCAGCACCTTAGCGAACAAAAATCGCAACAAGAGAGAGAGAGAGAGAAAAGAATGAGAATATAGCAGCGCGGGAGGCGACAATGAAAGGAGATGTCAACATGGCAATGAAGGCAAGAGGAAAGGAACAGCGAAGATGGCTACAACACAAACGAGCGAGACAGAGGAGGATGATAGAGAGAGAGAGAGAGAGAGAGAGAGAGAGAGAGAAGTGGGGGTTTCTCCTTAATTATTGCAATAGATGAAGGGTGAAACATGATCCGCGTCTAATTGAAAAGAAACCAAATGAATCAACCGCTAGGGCACCCCCAGTGGCCTTCCGACAAATAGGGAGGAGTGAGATCTGTATGGAGTTTCCCTAGATGAGCCCACCAAGGGTCCGCCAAGTTAATGAGCTCCAAAATTTAGGAATACACCTGACCGGTCAAAAAGAAAAGAAAAGAAGCTAATTTTCATAAAGAAGCTAAGGAATTTCCCCAGATGAGCCCAATAGAGGCCCGCCAAGCTATGGAGCTCCAAAATCCAAGAATACACCTGACCAATCTAAAATGAAAAGAAAGGAAGTTAATCTTCATAAATTCTTGCATTTTACTTTTTATTTATAATTTTTCATAATTTTATTAAATTCGGTTAGCATTTAATATTTTGACCCCAAAACAAAAAAAAAAACATGCCTCGAGAACATTGATTAATCACAAAGAGATTGCCTACTCTTGAGTAGGGGTGAGCATCGTTTTAGAGTAAAACCTAAAACCGACCTAGAACAGAAGAATCAAACCAACCAACCTAGAACAAAAGAACCGGATCAATAAGAACTTGCCCGGTCTCCAGTTCCAAAATATGCGAGGTAAGTTCTAACGAGGGAAAACCTAGAACAAGTTTTTGCATTTTACTTAATTTATATCTTCGCGTGATCTTGCATTATTCGATAACGTCCTACAATGTGTAAAATTTGGAAACACTAATCTCAACCTCCATTTTATGACTGAGACTTTTACCTTATTAATATTTATTATTTTTCGTATTTAAATATAAGTTGTGCTCATTAAATTATAACAGATGGTCATTAAAGATGATTTATTGTAATTATTCAATTTATAATACAAGAGGAACCTGAAAGTAAGAAACCATCCTTGGGATTCGATTTCCTCATATAGACCAACCAGGATAAAAACTGCTTTCCAAAGAGATTCATGAGTTCCAACTCTTCCTTTCAAGGCGTAAGACAATGAAAAGAGAATAAAAGCACCGGAACTAACCCTAAAACCTGTGTCAAAGTAGGTTCTAGAATATGCAAGATAGATTCCAGATTCCAAAAAATAATAAACCTATTTCAACAGGTAAGTTCCGAATTCTACTTATAACCTGTACAGAACCTAAAACTGCTTATTCCTACTATGGAGCTTCTCCAAACACAACAGAGCCGCAGAGTAGCCTGCCATCAAGCAAAAGCAGCAACAACGGAGAGCTCCACACTCCATGGCTTATTTGTTTTGACATTGGTTTTCTTCTAAAGGAAAAATTTACCAATACACAAAAAAATAGGAAACCGAAAAACAAAATCTTAATCCGTGCTTCTTAATTGACAAAAAATACAATTAATCTTGACATTAATGTCGAAAATAGTGATATCCATTTTTTTCAGTTTTGAACAATGATTTTCCTAAATACATAAATACTCATAGTTATGTTAATTTAAAAACGCAAACAAACCTTGTTTTGATCAATTTCACATCTTTCTTTATTTTGAAAACAAAACGGCAACCAGCTTACAGAAACATGTCGAACATATTCTGAACTATTCACACAGGAAAATAGGAAACCTAAAACAGGGAAATATCTGCATGAAAACAAGAATTGAAAATACTTTCTCTGAGTATTAAAAGCATTACTTTGTCAATGATCCTAGAATTTACACAAAAACTGAAATCTTTCAAAAACTATTGGCTTTACAGAATTACATTTACCCGCTAGATAATGACCAACCCGCAATCCCAACACCATTACCACATCATTGTTTATTTGAACCAAGAAAAATTGTGTCATCCATGAAAATCAACTGAACTAATCGACTTCAGCAGACAAAGTTGTAGAATGACAGTTAATGTTGGGACCATTATAACCTCTTAGGCACCTAGAACCGCATAGAGGCTAAGTTGAATCCCGTGTCACGACTCAATTCATACAAAATGAGTAAGGCAAAATTTAAAAAAAAATTATAAAAGCAAAAATCAAAGCTTCTACCATGAAACTCGCCAGGTTGAACTAATCCAGTGTGGCAACAGACTATCACGCTTATCAATTAAATAAATTGGCGTGCAACTTCTTCCACCGTGTGTGCAATTCACCTCCAAAAGCTCTTCTAGATGAGTTCTTCTATAAGACAGAACTACTTCAGTTTCAGATGTGTAACAAAACGAATCACCAAGAAAGCGCCGAATCCACACAGGGAACATCCAAGAACTATGGAAGAGATCAATGGTGAGAAACTAGATCCAAAACTTGTCTTAAACCGGCTCAACAGATAATTTTAACATTCACATATAACCCCTAAGACTAGTCACAATAGCAGCAACAAAAGCGAAAACTTGCATCTAATGCAGAACATCGCAGAAAAAGCAGCAGCATAATTGCATGCCTGATGGCCAGGAGCAATCACAGCCTTCTTCCCCTTCTACCACCCTTTCTGCGAGTGCTGTCGGTTGGTATCGGTGTCACATCCTCTGATAACCAGGCAAAAGAATTACATGAGCACATGATCGAGTAAGAAGCCAAAAAGAGTAGAAAACCACATTATAAGCTTGAACCACATATCCTTTGTCAAGCTCATTAATAACTATCCGAGAGCCAAGAAAATAGAATACAGTTCCTTAACAACCACCTCATTGAATCAAGTGCTTCTTGCTCTGACACCCGCTAATAATGATTTAAAAAAATTTGTATTCAATCCCCAGCTCAGCAGATTCAGTAAAATTATGTTATTCACAGCTTACTATATATATGTCCTCCATGTTGTCTTAGAATCTTAGGGAAATATTATCTAACACAAAGGCTGAAGTAAACACCGCAAATGCAATGTTCAAATTGAACTTAGTAATAGAAAAGTATTTCACAAAACTTCAGAAGAAAAATACCGCGTAGCAGGTCAGAATATCAATAAGCCTCATAACATTGAGTTCATGAAGAAGTTGCCCTTCAAACATCTAATTCAATCATCACTCTTGCTGCCATGTTTGAAGCTAAAATCACATCTATGCATCTTCTAAGTTTGATCAAAAGTTAAAACCGACAAAGGACCCAATCACCTCAGGTTGGGTGAAGACAATCTAAAAAATGTAAACGTACGAAAGCTCAGAAACACTAGCATGCCCATATTAAACAAGAACGACAAATGGAAGTGGCGAGTCAGAATATCAATAAGCGTAAAGGAGTTAAGATCACAAGGGATTTTATCCCTTCCAGAACTTCATTTGACTCATCATTCTCACCACAGACAATTAATTAATTGTCTCCGAATTTGCAAGGAATAACAATTAAATTTAGCTAAGTTGAAGTGAGTTATAATCATCGAAGTAAAGAAAAAGCATAGTGTGGAATCAATGTCCCCTACCACAAAACAAGACATTCACAAACTTTCAGTGGACCTGAAATCTCACAAATTGAAGAAGCCATGATTTAGCAAAGGAAGCTACAATCATCGAATCCAAAGTGTGAGATCAAAGATCCTGAGCTAATGTCTTGCATAAAAAGACCGAGGCAGGAATGAAAAGGGAACTCTAGAGGAAAACCCTAAAGAGCGACCCAAAAAGTCATCTTTAATGTTGCGCAGCTATGACTCAAAACGCTTCCATCGAGTACTTTGAAAGGCGATCTTAAGGGCCGCGCTTCAAAAGAAACCAGTGAACAAAGCAGAAATATTTTTGCTAAAAAAGTTGAACTCAAGACAGACATGAGAAAACCAAAGGAAAGTGCTAAGAATGATCCAGGAGAATTTAGTGTCTAGTGCTTGACCAAGTACTCACATAGAGAGTGATGGAGAGGAGACAAAGGAAGAGAGGTGGCAGCCAAGAATGACAATATAAACCCAAGACCAATGTGCTTGAGCCTATTAAGATCCATTTACAAAAATACGCTGGGCCTAATATGTTATCCAAGAGATCTAGGGAAATATTTTAAAAAAAGGCTGGCTATAATGATAATACGGTTTAACTTAGAAGAAATGTGTTCATAAAATCAACATTTATAACTAAACAGTTTGGACAGAGAGGTATTCTAGGAGATCACTACTCGCACCACTGATCAGAACCAAATGCACTAAATATCAAACAACAAGAAATATACCTATGCGACCGATTTTCATGCCAGAACGAGCAAGGGCTCGAAGTGCTGACTGAGCACCTGGGCCTGGGGTTTTGGTCTTGTTTCCTCCAGTAGCGCGAAGCTTAATGTGAAGAGCAGTAACACCAAGTTCCTATAAAACATATCAGAGCAAATTTACAATGACAATGAATAAATCGCGTTCCACAAAAAAAAAAAAAAGCAAACAGAGGACTAAGGCAGAACCAGAAACAGATTGCACTTCGAAAAGGATCATGCATACAGACAATTTCACACAATCAGGAAAAAGGCAGTGACTAAAAAGAAGGGGAAACCTTGCATCGCTGAGCCACATCTTGGGCTGCAAGCATGGCTGCATAAGGCGATGATTCATCCCTGTCAGCTTTCACCTTCATGCCACCTGAAAATAGGACAAATTCAAATAATTAGAGAATAATATTAAGTGAAGGGGTAGAAGCAATACAACCTTTCAGCTAAACTACCTAACTATACAAGGATCTCATGACTAAACAAGCCAATACATTGACAACCATAATTAAACAACGACTTGGCACACGGAGCAGATAGACCACGCAAGCTAAGGACAGGTTAATATGAAGGAACTTCACAGGACACACCACGCCCTATCTCGAGAAGAAACTTACAACCGCTGAAGTAACTAGAAAGCATAATTACAGGAGGGAAGCACATTTCGCTTCAAAAAGATTAAGAATTTAAACTGCTACAGCTAAGAAATGAAAATTTAATAGAAGCCCATCTTCGCTTCCACACCAACTGACTAGTGGTCAGAGATTCACAATGAAAAAGCTGTACATCACACAACAGCAATAACTCGCAGAACCTTCCAACTCGCAGACGCATCTCAAAGTAAAATGAAGGAAGCACGAGACATACCAGTGATGCGAACAAGGGTTTCCCTCCCGGAGAGGTCGGTCACATGCTGCAAGCGAAAGCGAACCACGGTTCGTCAGGCTGGAATCGAGGGCACAAAAAAAAAGGCGAAGAAGAGCGGATTGAAAACCAGTCGAGCCGGATGCTTACGATGAAGGTGTCGTTGAACGAGGCGAAGATGTGGGCGACCCCGAAGACGAACTCCCCCTCGCGCACCGCCGGCCCGAGCGTGACGTTCTCCTCCTTGGGCTCCCTGACCTTTCTCTTCGACTGCGAAACAACAAATCAACCGTGAGCGAGCGCTCCCGATGACAAATCGCGCGAGCAACAGCTTCCGCACCGCCATCTGCTCCCAGCGATCGATCAACGAATCCCACGTATCGGAAGAGTTCGCCGGAAAATACAGAAGCGGCGTGAGAAGACTGATCGGAGACCCTTACCATGATGTGCGAGATCGGGGGGAGGAGGAAGAGGGAAATGCGGCGGTGGAGAGAGAGAGAGAGAGAGAGCGCTCAAGCACCGGCGGAAACTTGCGACGAGACAGCCCCCGAGCTCGAGCTTAAGAGTGTGGGAGAGAAGACGGGGAGGTTTTTATAGAGGAAGGGTATTAGGGTTTCGGAGTTCGCGGAGCATGCGAAATTACGCTCGGCACCCGCGTAGCGAGAAGAAAGAAAAGGTAAAATAGCGCAAATAATCTCAACACGTTAGCCAAATACATAATACGATCTCTGAACTTTAATCTGATGTATAATGTGATTCCTGAAAATTTTAATTTATTCAATATGATCCCTAAACTCTTGATACATGTTCGATTTAATCCCTAGACTATCTAAGGGTCGAATGCTTTAAAAAGTCCTAACCTTTAGCTCAATTCCTAATTTTACGCCAAACTTTTTTTTTGTCTCATAAAAGCCCCCAACTTTAGGTTCAATCCTAATTCTACCCTAAATTTTTTTTATCTTATAAAAAACCCTCAATTTTATGTCCAGTCTCAATTCCACCTTGATTTTATTTTTCATAAAAAAACTCTTAAATTTATGTTTAGTTCCAATTCTACCATTCGTCTCATAAAAAAAACCTCAGCTTTAGGTTTAGTTCCAATTTGACCATAAATTTTTTTTTGTCTTATAAAAAATCACAAATTTTCACTTAAATATCAAATCTGCCTTTATTAACCCTCAATCCAAAATCGCCCTTAGTGATCATCTGTGACACTTGTCAATACTTTAGTTTTTCCCCAAATTTCAGAAAAAAAAAAACGTCTTTTGGAAATGAATTTCCATATCGACCCAAACAATATCTTCTTGGGCATATGAAATTTGGATAAAAACTTGAGTAATTAGGTTAGTTTTCTTTATTTGCTCTTACTCTTAAGAGAGTCTTGCTTCCATCTCGTTCAGAAGTTTTTTATTTTGTGCTCGGTTTTCAATGTCTCGTGCCCGAGAGCCTTTCATATCTCATGATTGGAGAGCTCGCAGTCGGGACACTTGGCTCGGGAGCTCGAGCAACTCGTGCTTGGGAGCTTTTCATTTCTCGATTGTTTACGAAAAATTTTGAACAAAGGGTTAATATGAGGTAGATTTGTGACTTAAGTAAATGTTGGTAGTTTTTTATGAGCTTGAAAAAAATTTAGGGTGAAATTGGGACTAGACGATAAATCAGAACATGACATAAAGTTTAGGGTTTTTTATGGGAAAAAAAAAAAGTTAAGGGTAGAATTGAGACTTGAGCTAAAATTTTGATTTTTTTATGGTATTAGGCCAATTAATGAAAGGATAACATTGAATATTTTCATATATTTTATAGATTAAATTAAATATTTATCAAAAGTTCGGGGATCACATTATATATTAAATTAAAGTTCAAGAATCACATTGAACAAATTAAAAATTAAGAGATCACATTTCATATTTAGTTAAAGTTTATGAATCATTTGTGTATTATCCCAAAGGAAAATATAAAGAAAATTGAAAAAAAAAAAAGAGAGAGAAAAGTAATTGACAGCTGTGGGATTTGAACCCACGCCCTTTCGGACCAGAGCCTAAATCTGGCGCCTTAGACCACTCGGCCAAACTGTCATTGCAGATGTGGTTGACGAACTTTTCCTCTATTTGTCCAATTGACAATACGCTCTAAGCGATAGTTTGATGGGGGGACTTCTTCCCATTTTCTTTGGTCAAAAGGGAAAATTACTTCGTTGAGGGGAGAACTTACAACGCGCTCGTTAAATTAGGGCTGCAGGACGAGGCCTAATTAGTTTGGTGAATCGGTAAGGACACAAAGGAGGACAACAAAGGGCAAAAACATTGAAATTTCAATTTGGATTAGGAAAAAAGAAGTCGAAGAATCGCTAGAAGGAGGGCTTGAACCTCCGACCTTGTGGTTAACAGCCACACGCTCTAACCAACTGAGCTATTCCAGCTTCTGCGTAACATTAGCAAGTATTTTTATAATTATATAATAATAAACTCTAGCGCCCTTTTGACTTAACATCCATCCTCAAAGGACGCTCAGGAACGAAAGGCATAGAACTTTTTCGTTTCGTGAGCATTTCAGGACCGTTGGGATCTTGGCGAGGCTACGATGACAAACCCGTCAACCTTAGACTTTTGAAACATGAGTGGTTAGATGACAAACCCGTCAACCTTAGACTTTTGAAACATGAGTGGTTAGAAATAGCTGCGGCTCAATTCAACAATTTCATAGCGAGTATGGAACTTGAAAGAAAACTTCCATACAGGCCAAAGTTATCATTTCATATTGATTGCGAGACCTAAATATGGATAAGAAACTGATAAACCTTAGACCTGATGGCATGGCATCCAATCTCATTTGTTGTGACATGAAAAAGGGACGACAAATTCCTAAAACGTCTGCCCACGAAGCACAAGTCCTTCGACACCAAGAAGAGTCCATGACCATTTTCAAAGCAGCCGGTTTCCGTTATCTAGCTGTTGAATCCCTAAGCTCTTCCGGTGGCGAAGCCTCCATCCTGCTATCTACATCAGAACCGTTTTACGAATCATATTCGATCGAGGATAGGTGGTTTTTTGCCCTGCGCTAACAAGGGAATTCTTTGAAAAACTAGATGTCACTCCATTTCAATTTCAACAATACGGTTGACAGATAGGTATCGGAAATCCACCCCGACAAATTCAAGCTCTATCTGACAGTAATAAAGTAAAACGGTGTATTTTTCCCACTATAGTATTCCAAACGATGACAAGGTTACCGAAACATTAACTTTGCTCTGTACACATTGAGAAAGACATGAACCGAAGGTCACTCATTTCTCAGGAACAAACTCGCGGAGACTGTTCCCATAAAGCCAGGCAAAACCGCCTGGTTTTTTTACCGACGCTTGTATGATCAGTTCACCCCTAGACAGAGCAAGCTTCCAGTTTGGGAAGGAGACTTCGCCAAGCATCAGCAATTCCATTTGCCAGACGTGCCTGCCCTTTGGCAAATTCGTGAAAAGCGACTCCCATGTCTGTTGTCTTCTGTTCTTGAAAGTGTACCATCTCTTCACTCATCCGTCTCACGATTGTTTCGAATCTTCTCACTGCTTCCTCGCTTTCTCCTTTCAGCTGCATTGATTCCTATTTTATCAGCAAAATAGATATCTCGGAATCGATTTGGACAACACAAATTACGTTAAGTGACTTACCTCTCTGTATTCAATCTCCGCTTCCCTCACCTTATCAGATCGTGTCAGCATGAGTTTATCACTGAAAAGAAGCAGGAGTAGAGAACCATATCATGACCTTTAGTTAGGTTCACTAATGATGATCAGGGTATCAAAGTACATTAACCGATTGTGCTGACAAACACATCAACTTCATTAGCTGAAGGGCTCTCTATCATAAGCGCACATCCTTACTATACATCTTTGGGTAGTTTAATTAAAGGCAAAAGGACACAAGAAGTGCCACAACTTGTGTACGGAGATCACTTTGGTGCCATAACTTTTTTTCGGATCACTTTGGTGTCAACTTTTTTGAAAAACGATCATTTTAGTGCCAATGCTGACGTGGCTCGCCGGAAATCCGATGTGGAGATGACACGGCTCGCCGGAGAGGTCCAGTCAGCATTAAAAACCAAAAACGACGCCGTTTAGCCCGCTGACGTGTACTTTTAAAAAAAATAAAAATAAATTATATTTAAAAAAAAAGTTGCAGCAGCGGTGAGGGAGCTCTCACCGCTGCTGCCGCCAACCCACCACCGCCGGGGGCGCAGTGGTCGGCGAGGGTCGCCGGCCCTTGGTCGGGGCCCGGCGACCCTCGCCTAGCCAAGCGAGGGCCGGATCCGGCGAAGGCGAGGCGAGACTATGGGATCCTTATGCATCTCGTGAGGCCGACCTCGCCGTCGAGACTATGGGATCCTTATGCATCTCGTGAGGCGAGACTATGGGATCCTTATGGGACCCTCGCCTCGCCCAGCGAAGGTGAGGCCGACCTCGCCGTCGCCTGGGTCGCGACGGCGAGGTCTCGCCTCGCCGGATCCGGCCCTCGCTGGCCACTGCGCCCACCACCGCCGGCCCTTCCCGGCGGTGGTGGGTTGGCGGCAGCAGCGGCAAGGGCTCCCTCGCCGCTGCTGCAACTTTTTTTTTTTTTTTCTAAAAATTAAAAAATTCAAAAAAAAGCCACATAATTTCCACATGTACAAGTCGGACCATTTTTTTTTTAATATAAATGCCAGGTCAGCTTTTTGGCCGGAATTTTGGCCGGAGTCACTAAAGTGATCTATTTTCCTCCAACTTGGCACCAAAGTGATCCGAAAAAAAGTTATGGCACCAAAGTGATCTCCGTACACAAGTTGTGGCACTTCTGGTGTCCTTTTGCCTTTAATTAAAGGTTATGTACTTTCAATGCAACAAAGGAATTCTCAACTTCCAAAGACATGATATCACCTACCACGTCTTCTTAAAACCCAAAATCATGCAATCTACGTTCGTTCTTCTTTACCTAAGCAAAACCCTCTTAGAGAGAGAGAGAGAGAGAGAAAGAGAGAGAGAGAGATGAACAAGATGCTTAGCAGAACCATACAGATTTATCTCTTTCAATTTGATTGTTTCAGCCAATTCACACTGCTGTCTGAATGCGGTGCCTCGCTCTGCTATGGTGGCCTGTTTCACAACACACAAGCCACAAAATTAGCTCATGAAAGTCAGAATTACCGAGACAATGAACTCATCAGTGATTTCCAGCAGCCAAAAAAGAAGTCCCAAACCCAAAAGACTCTGTTAGAGTGTCTCTGGTAAATGTTTGGCCTTCCATAGTATAAGAAGAAATATCAAGCTTACCTTAATAGACTGCACAGCACGAACATAATCCTTCAAAGGTTCTTCAAAATGCATTAAGAGCTCAGTAGCCTGCATGTCAAATATACCAAATAAGTACCAACAAGAAGTATTCCCCAACTTTAGAAGGGCAAATACAAGCAAGCATGAAAAGACACATACACAAAACCCTATTGAAGAGTCCAAAGATTCTTAAATTCAACTACAGTCTACCTCCTTCTGCAGCTTAATTGATACTAATTCTGATTTTGCTCCAAGTTCAGAAAATGCCTTCCCAAGAGCATTTTCTTCACAGGCACCAAGAAGTTTGACTGCTTTACCAAAATCTGAGAGAGATTTCCCAAGTTCTGCAGGAATTCAGACAAAAGAATGCACCTAAATCAGTAATTTCTCCAAGGCAAAGCAGAACACGAAAGCCCAAAAGTAAAATCCAAAAGCATATTAAGATCAAGAAAAGCCTCCAGAATCACTACCCCTGTGCCTCTTCACAAGTCGATATGCCTGTTTTTGTGCTTCAGCCAAGTGGTTTTCAAGCTCAAAGATATAGTGTTTCATCTTTTCATAATCAGGATGCGACTCTTCCACTGGTTTCTCCTTTCCTAAAACCACATCGCTCACTTTGGATTGTACGTCCTGTCAGCAACAGAGACCAGGTCATCAAAGGTCAAATAGCTACAGCCCTCATTGGAATGGTAACTCTCAATATCAATGTATTATCAGCTTCAAGTGCATCTCTTATACACTGACTCTGTAAAGCATATGCTGAAGAAGTTCAATGTTGATCTTTGTCAAATGATTACCTTAAATATCTGCATAAGATCTGCTGGCTTCTTAAATAGACCAGTTTCATAAGACCTTAATCTCTCCATTACCTGAATAGAGGTAACAAGACACATTTAGAAGCATACTTCCAACATTCCAAAAACGAAAAAGAGTTTTCTTCGAACTAGGATTTGCAATCAACTGGGAGATTAACTAAAGTGAGATAAATAATTGATAACATGGTATGAATGAACCAATCCATTAGCAGAAGGAAACTAATTAATGATTTAACAAAGTAAGCCTTATCTCACTAACCTGGGCTGTAATGACCCGAAATTTTCATTGCCAACTACTCATGTGGACTTACTACACCTCCGGATTAGTAAGGTCATAAGATCTGACTTCTGAACTTTTGCTTATGAACTTTGATCAGTGAATCTTTTCAAATTGAAATTAAGAATTTGACTATCTCATACGATGATCTATTCATTGAAAGTTTGAAACTCTCGTCTTGATCATTGTTTTTTTTAATTCGAACTTACATGTTATTGATCTTTGAGGTATTGGATTCCTTGTTTACTAATACTGAACTATTTTTCTGACCAAAAAAACAAAATATTGAACTATTCCTTGAAGGTTTTCTGAATATGTATTGGGGATTAGATTTAGTAATATTGAATATTAAGTTCAATTCTGCTTAATATTAGGAGGGATTGCCTATACCTAAGGGTGTAATTAATTCACTGAGCGTGCAAGTCACCACGTCGTTTCTTTTGGTACACACGACTTAAGGTTGACAATATTGTAATGGTGGCTACTGGCATCTCAAACTACACTGATGACGATATGCATAAGGATCCCATACTAGAGTACTTGCCTTGCCTTTCCAATTGAAAACGAAAATCACGGTTGAAAAAATAGGCGTAGTTGAAATGGATTTCAAGTTCTATTGGGCTCAAGTGCATCATATGTGGATTTGTCTCTGATAGTTGGAGCTTTGGTAATTGCTTATTTAATTTACTTTTGAATGTTTACATATTTGATAATACCAAGGATTTCTTTAAATAAAGTTGTCAGGATTGTTTTGACTTGGGTACAATTTATAAATTTCATTTCTTATTTATCTCTTCCGCTGTAATTTGTAAATATACTGGGTAATGTAAAAAAAAAATAACCTCCTTTTGCTAAAGAATAAATGGTCTTTATTAAATAATCCCATCAGAATTTGAGAGTGTCACAAGGGTAACGGGAATGCGATACAACTAGACTACAGGTTAGAGTTACACAAATTCTTACAATATTTGAAAACAATTCTAAGGTGAAACAGTTACATATATTGCCAATGCCTTTATATGAGATCGTCACCAATGCATTAGACAAAATTAGAAATCATGAAGATTAAAAAAAGAAAAGAAAGCTACTCTATAAGATATATATCCTCATTATTCTGGCATTTACAATCACAACCACCACCAGGTTGGCTTTAGCAAAATCCTTATTTGTGTAAACACATCCTTGTAATTTCTGCAACAGAATTATTCTTTCCTTCAAAAGTATTACCACAACAAATGTGGAAACCTCCTCTCGCAAGCACACTGATTCCTATAATTACTTAGTTTGATGGGATCTACAGGGAGGACTAGCGATAATTTATAGAAAGCAGCTCCCAAACATCAAAGAGGGACTGCAAGATTTGGTTGAAGCCTCCATCTAAAGGCAAAGCACCTCAGCAGGAAGACTAGTGCATGCTTGCATATTTGTTATTTGTGTCACGACATGAATACATGGATGAGTGCAACATTATGTGTACGTTTTGGCCAACACGAGCAGCCAAAAACAGAAACCCCACCTTGTTTGATATTTCAAAATATGGCAAAAACTAGAGATATTTATGCTACATTTATCTCAGGGAGAAAAGGAAATAAATCGATCATCACATGACATCGAACAGTGGATAACTCACCTCTTCATCAACCTGTAAGAAGGTTCTTAGATCGTCACTTTGCCGCAGCTCGTGATGTGAAGCTATCCGGTTAACAAATATATCTAATGCTTGACGTCTCATTTCAATAAATTCAGCACTAAACCGGAATTTTTCTGCATCAAATATAATTGCATAAGAATATTAATCAAGATGCTTCTGCTGCATAATTATGCTATGATCCTCAGAAATAATCATGAGACAGAAGCAAACTGCTCTAAAACTCCAAAAGGTTTTAAGTGAGGGTTTGCTCTAATTTAATTTGACTCATTAGTCAGGATTAAATGCTTGAATCTAACAGATAGAACTATGCTTACAAGTTCTGATGTTTGAGAGAGAGAGAGAGAGAGAGAGAGAGAGAGAGAGAGAGAGAGAGAGAGAGAGAGAGAGAGATATATGAGAAGGGTGGGGGGAAAGAGACGAATGCCATTGCTTATTCCCCTTTATTCGAGTACAATGAACTGAAATTTGACACATGAGCTACTCAAACTCAGATAAAACCAAGTCATGCTCCAGTTGCAAGTAGCCTGGCCCATTGCACACCTAAAGCCAGCTCCGTGATCATTATAGTTGATGATTCAGTCAAGATAGGGCGCCAACATGCGTATGGGGACACTGGACATGCAATAGCGATCAAGGCAAAGGCCAATGTAACCTTAAAAGGAGGCAGAAAAACAGATGATCCAGCCTACACAATCTCCAAGAGAATATGGGTATCATAAAATCACCAAGAAACGTTTGCTATTCAACTTAACAGAATGCAATCCAAATAATCCCACTAGGTGCTACATATATTAACAGCAAATACAGAGGTGTATATTGACTTGTTACCTACGGCGCTTTTCTCCGGCAGAGGAGGTATAAAAATGCCCTTGTAACTCTCAAAAAGCCGATCATGTAGCCAAACAAAATCGCTATATCTTCGAATGACAATCTTCTCTGGCCCCTGGTACTCCGGTAAGTTCGTCTGCGCAAGGGTATTTCTCAAATTACACCAAGCAACAAATCATAATTCGCCAAACTCTTAAACCTCCAACCCAGTCAAGATAAACTAACACAGATCACACTCCTTACCAAAAAAAAAAAAACTAACACAGATCACACGCGCATAAATTATGAGATAGAATTCGGATACACGAATCGATCAAAGCAAGCCGGATCACAACGAATCCAATTTCAAAACTTTCCACCAATACACGCATCTTTCTTCTAATTCCGACACTGATGCGCATGCATTGACCGCTCTCTCTTCCTCTAAAGCCCCTTTCGCCGGCGAAAGCCGACCAATTCCCTCTTCAGGTCCCACCGTAACAACAAGAACAGCTCGACAGCTCTCCGCAGACAGGCCAAGACACGGCACGCGCGCGCCCACAAAAACCCTAAACCAGGCGATCCCGATCGACGTTACCTTGGCGATGACGCGGTAGGAGATATAGGCCTGGACGCCGTTCCCGAGCTTCACGGGATCGGTGACGGAGACCGAGAGGTACGGCTGGGCCGGCGGAGATCGGGGGCTCTGCGACGACCCCGAGGGGCTCCGCTGCTGCTCCGTCCACATCCGGTCGGCGCGGGATCCGCTCCGATTCGGCGTCGTTCCGGGCGGAGATTCGGAGCAAGCCGGGGAAGGAGGCGGCTGTGGGCAGAAGCGATGGCGGAGAGATTGCTCGTGGGGGAGAGTCAAAAGGAGGGATTGAAGTTCAGTTAGCTCGACGCTCCTTTGGTAGTTTGAAAGAGAAGAAGAAGATGTTGGAATTTGCGCAGAGAAAGAGAGAGAGAGAAAAAGTGGGTGGGTCGGATAGTCCATGGGGCGGGCGACGGCGTGGATCCGGTTCGGGCCGACCCGGTTCGGACGGGTCGGATTGTCCCATGGACCCATTGGCCATCAATCCGATTTAGGGGTGGAGCATGGTTCAAGGGTTTTTACCCTGGAACTTAAGAACCTAACCAGTGGGAACCTGTAGGTTCTAGGTTCCAAGTATGCAGGGTAGGTTCTAGGTTCTAAAAATTAGGAAACCTGTTTCGACGAGTAAGTTTCAGGTTCTAGGTAGGTGGAACCTGAAACATGGAACCTAAACAAGTTTTTTGTATTTTTTTCTTGGTCTATATTTTCACGTGATCTTACGGTGTTTCATGGCGTTAGATGATAAGTGCATAATCTGAAACCACTAGTCCGAACTTTCATTTTATATTTGTTTCGGCTAAGTGTATCTTCACGTGGACCCATTGGCAATCGATCCGATTGATCCCTCTATATTTGTTTCGGCTTCTTTTAAGACAAAACATATGTGGTGTCATTTGAGCTTCAAGAATTATGGAAATTGATTGGTGATTTTGTGTGTGTTGTATTTATATGTTTTGTAAGGTTTTGGACTTATGTTTTTTAGGTCTTTTGAGCCGAAGATAATCTATCGACGACATTAACTTATGGCTTCCCACCAAAAAAGATCGAAAACTTATGAAAGATGCGTTCAAAAAATCGCCGGGTATGACATTTTGTATTTTTTTCGCTCATTTGGAAACGGAAATAATCTACCGGTTACGTTTATTTATCACTTTTCATCCCAAATTCGAGAAAACGGGAAAAAAAGATCAAATTGAAAATATCTTGGAAAAAACTACATGTAAACCTAAATGTCAATACTTACATATGCTAAAATGTTTCTAAATACTCTCAGCAAAAACATTCGTTTCAAGTGTTTCGAGTTATGTAAAATTCAAAGTGTGAAAATTACAAAATTTACATAAGATAACTGGTAGAAGCAAGAATCCCTCGAACAGACCCAATACATTAGAGAGGAAAGGCATTTTGAAGACATCAAGCAACTCTTAGCTCCTGGTCCATGAATTCTATGTTGGCTAAATAGAGAAACCTCAAAATTAGTTCACCACTAATTGGATTTATATGTCCTGAATATCTAAATTCAGGGACATTGAACAAAAGAGTCTCAACTGCTCAGTATAATGCTGAACTCTTGAGCTATCTAGAATATCTAGAATCCTAAAGAGAATCATCAATGCAAGCACCTGGAATGAGTTTGCAATATTTACTCCCAGCATTACAAATTAACTATATAACTTACAAAGACTTGCAATCTGTTACGCAAAAAGACATGTTTGAGTGATTGTTTCCATCTATGGAGCAAACTGTGACGAGATGTGGAATGGGAGCGATAACCATTGGCTCATAAAATGCAAGAAACCGAAGATCCGGAGCAACAACCCCAAAAAAACAGTCCGTCGTTGATGTTGTGCAGACATGACTCAGAAACGTTTCCATGGAGTAAAGGGGCAAGTTCATTTCGAAAGGAGTCTCAAGAACTGCGCTTGACGATGGAAAAACAAAGGCAGTGAAGACAATGCTGGAAAGTTGCAGGAGAATTGCTTGAGGCTTGAGAGACTAACAAGGAAGAGGGGCCAAGGGTTGGATGGGCCTAGGATGTGATCATAGGGCCCAATAACATCTCATGTCCACTGGGCCTGTCCAACATACAAGATGGGCCCAAGAAAAAGGTTTATCATGTTTTTGTTTCCCTTGTATCCCTCCCCATACATCTAGGGGTGTCAGAACCGAACCGAAAAACCGAACCGAGATACGAACCGAATCGAATCGAATCGAAAATTTCGTGCATTTCGGTTCGGTTTCGATTTCGATTTCGGTTAGGATCATCAAAATAAACCAATTTTTCTTTTCGGTTCGGTTTATTTCGATTCGGTTCGGATCGGTTTGGATCGAACCGAACTAAAATAAACACTTCGGTTTAGGGCTATTTTGCTCTTCTCTCTCCTCTCTCCTCTCTCTCTCTGCTTAATGAACTTGAAACCGAAAACTGATCCGAACCAAATCGAACCAAATCGATTTTTCGGTTCGGTTCCAATTCGGTTCGGTTCAAGGGGGCACCCTTAATGGTTCGGTTCGGTTCGATTTTCTTGAAAAATCGAACCGAACCGAACCATTTACACCCCTACATATATCGGCCGTCACCGTAGATGACCCGATGCGACCGACCAATTATAATGTTCGTGTGATATTTATTTCGACTGATTTTGTATCGACCTATGAAAATCCGATCCTTTGTTGGTTGGCTTCTCGATCCGTCATTGTTATTTAGTATGACCGACGTGCAAAACACCGCCTCTCCGCAACAACAATTCAACTTTTTTCCTAGCAACTCTAATATCAAATTAAAAATTTATTTTAACCTCTAATATCGAAACTCCTCATCCCCATTCTCCTATAGAAGCTTCCTCAAAAGATCAATGGCGACCGCTGCGACGGTGGTCTTAAGAGCCAACACGGTGGTCGGCCACCTACAAAACCGGGGGTGGGGTTGGTCGGGCAACCCCGTCCCCGTTATTGATGTTGCTTACAGCAAAAGGATTTATGCCTCTTTCTTGCTTCTATCTTTCATTTTGCCGATTTTGTTTTGTTCTATCTAGGTGGGATAAAATTATCTCGGATAAGTTATCGACCATTTTATGTGGATATCTAGGCTTATCTCAACACAAAGATGTCTTCAAAAACACCAAATGAGATAATTTCTATTCTATTCGGGTGACCAAACACGTGCAATTTCAGTTGATATATCACCAAAAGTTGGTCGATGTCCTTATATTTCCAAAACACTAAGCAATAAATCCTCGCAGCTAAAGTATAGAGACTTAAATACAATCTAACCAAACGCAGTAAGGATTAGATGCATAACTTAACTATGCAAACAAAAGGGAGATAAGATAGCATATATTTTTGAAGCTTAGGTTAAATGGTGCCGGACCGAATTAGTTGGAAATTACATACCATATATATAGAGCCGGTCTCGAGCCCACTACCCCCGAAAGTCCAACTAGGTCGCGGGCCGGATTGTCAAAGCCCAAAAAATGAAGACCTTTCCCCAAAATTGGTTGTTAACACCATATTTATCTCTATGGAATCACTTATGTATAGAAACCTACAATCTATGATGTTACTCATGTTTAATGAGCGAAATACTCCGTTTACTATCAAAATATATATCTATATGTTATAGAGGTCGGTACATAGTATGTAGAGGCAATGAAGTTGTGGAAGTGCTTGTGATGAATCTTATACGTAAATGTTACGTCCCATTCTTGAAAAAAAATTGAGAAAGAGCGAGAAAATCGACCTGATTAGCAGACTTTCCACGAAAATTTCGTCTGGCCCGGTCAAGAAATTCAACCTCCTGTCCCGACAAAAAGGGCAAATTCGCGGTACAGAATTGACAGTACTTATCAAAGAAAAATCTAATAAAGTAAACCTATGTAGGTTTTGTTCAGCAAACCTATATTAACAAAGACAACTTCAGCAGGGCAATGACCCCGAAGTTCCATGGATGTGAAAAGTTGGAGCAATGACACGACAGGTTAAGCAATTGCCCCGACGACATCGTCCTGCCAACAGCGCCATTGTCCCTACTTCTTGAACCTCTGGAAAGGAACACGTTTTGAGTCAATTCAAATGCATTGATTTTGGCCTTGTTTTATGGTGTGGAATCATGAAAAGGTTGAAGTCGTCCACCAAGACAGAGAAATAGAAATAGATGACTTCCTTCCTATTGCTTCGAAGGAGGCTTTCAATTGGGGGTTGTGATCTTTTTAATTCGGGGATAAACTAGCATTTGAAAATTTATTCCAACTAGTTGAAATGACATTCAAGGAAAGCATCGAGTTTAAGCGACGCGGGTCATTCGAACCAACTTTATAAAAAATTATACCTACTTTGGAAAAAAATCGCACCCGTACACAAAGTAAACCCTAATATGGAAATCTCTCCCCTCTTCTTACCTAACACCGAGCACCACCTACATGTGGTGCCGCCATCTTCACGATGCTCATCCATACATCTTTGTCTGTGTACGAGCACTCAATCGTTGCAAGGTCGAGACGCCTTAGGTTTGTTCTGATATGCTCTGACAGTGTGGATCATTGATAGGGCGAAATTCACCCTTCACCAACATGAGCGAAGATATGGCAATGAATTCTGTTGTCATCGTTGTAGGATATCAATGGCGATGGGATTATTTGCCTCGTCAAAAGTTTCATCACCATAGCCTGATTTCTCGAAGCATTGAAGCATTGCACTTGTTCTGCTTTAACAACCAAATTATAATCAATTAAAAACAGCTTGACCATAGTCATGCCATTGCCAGACAAAGCCCTTGAGCTCAAGTCGTCCACGTAATTCTTCACCCGGTCCGACCGTCGGTTTCAGAATTTAGAGCATTCACACCTTGGGAAATACTTACATTCCTTGATAGCTTTGCTTCTCGTTTTCTTTCTATATCTGTCCTATCACACTTCCCATCCATGGAAGGTTGCATGAAACCTACAAAACCGCGTGAGCTCTCTCCAACTCGAGTAAGACTGTTCAAAAAGTTATAACTTATTACATTTTTGTCAATTGAGTCTATTTGGCCAATTTTGACAAGAAATTGCTGATGTGGACACAGATCGTCCTACATAACACGATTGACGTTGACATGGATAATTTTCAATAATACTTTAATATTTTTTTTTTCGAATTTTTGTATTAATTTTTGTATTTTCCCTTTTTTTTCTTTCCTTCTCTTTTCCTTCTTTTCTTTTTTTCTTTTGTTTTCCTTTTCTCTTCTTTTCTTTTTACGTTTTCCCTTTTTCCCTCCGGCAGCCATTGCCAGGCCTCGTTGATGACCGGAGGCGAGGGTCACCCTTGCCTGTTGATGACCTTTGCCAGCCATTGACGAGGCTCGCTGATGACTAGCGGAGGGAAAAAGAAAAAAGAAAAGAAGACAAAAGGAAAAAAAAAAGAAGAAAAAAAGTAAAAATGGAAAAGAGAA